ACCTAATACCTTAGTTATTTTTCTCATAAATGTAAATCTTAATTTCAGTTTATTGTCATTTCTATATTTGTTTTATGCTTTATTTTATTTTATTTTCTTTTTGAACAAACAAATCACCATATGAATCAACTAGGTTGGCAATGAAATTAACTTGGGTGAAATTGGTTTTCTATCTTTACATGCAATCCCTTGGGTACGATCTCGCTCTTACACGCTTATGCTATATTCGATTCGTGCGCTTGCGAGTTTATAAATTTTAAAACATCTCTTTTGAGGCACAACACAATACATATCAAGGAGAAATTTGTTGATGGATTTCATAATACGATTTGAGAGGGCACTTTCCCATCAACGTCAAAAAGAGTTAGCTGCTGATCACGTAGATGCATTTGAAGTGGCTCAATGTATTCTACCAATGCCAATGAACAAACAAATGGCTACCTTGTACACAAGGGCAATGTTTCAAAAGTTTGAGAAAGAACTAATACAAAGTACAGCATGTTTCCTAGAGCTCAAAACAGAGGATGCTTCAAAAGTTGTCTTTAATGTGAGCGAAAGGAAAAATTGGCAAACAAGAGTGGCAGAAGTTGTATATGTCAAAGATTCTGACCACGCATCGTGTAGCTGCAAAAAATTTGAATTTGTTGGGATTATTTGCAAGCACATCCTAGCATTGTTCAGAAGGGACCAGATTGAATATATGCCCGATAAATATGTTTTGAAAAGGTGGAAGAAAACTGCGAAGGCTGGATTGGTGTCAAATGCCAATGGCAACGAAATTAAAGACTCTGCAGATCCTGGTCTTTTAATAAAGCGGAGTACAATGTCCCGACTTGTTTCAGATGTGGTTGAGGATGCATTAATGTGTGAAGAAGGATGTGAGCTAGTGTCAGAGACTCTAAAAATTTTGCGGGTGAAGTTGAAGTTGTTGAAGGATGGACCAAGTAATAACGAAGTTGGAGGGTCTAGCTCTCAAACACAATATATGAAAGACCCTAAGAGAGTAAGGTGCAAAGGAAGGTGGAAACAAGTAACGGGAGCAAAGGAAAAGCCAATGAAGCGAGGGATTCGACACTGTCGGGAGTGTGGAGACATTGGTCATGATAGAAGACAATGCCCAAGAAATTTGAACACACCGTAAGATGTTAAAACTATTTATAATAACACCTAAAATTTGAATAGTTAAATTTTTTATGTGCTTGTGTTTGGTGTTTATGCAGGACATCACCGTCAAACAATGAGGAATCAACTCCAATAGATCTCAGTGACCCATTATTCGACGAATTTTACAGGATGCACGGACCTACCGAATGATTTATGTTTGTATTATACAAAGGCTGGTTGTTATGAAGGCTAATGATCAGGTTAAGTTTTCTATATGCAGTTTTATTTTATTTGTTTGTTCATGTCCACTGATAAGCTTTTACTTTGTCCACTGCTAATTGAAATGGAAATTTGGTTGGTTTACTTCTTGCATGAAATTTGGACACATGTTAATTTTACATGTCTTCTCCCTATTTGGAAATTTTCATAGACATTTGATAAAGTATCAAATTTTGAGTTTTGTGAAGAAGCAATGACTTTTACCATGTACAATGGGTAGTTTATGCTGAATTATGAACGAGTGACACAGATTCATTGATTATATCACAGGGTAATGTAGCATTTCCAGCAGGGAGCTGTTGTTTCCATCAGCAGTAATGATTTCCAGCACGAATCATTTCTAGCAACACTAATCATTTACAGCAGCAACCAATTTTTCCTAATGTTATGTTCTAGTGCTTGACTGGTTATTAAGATCTGACCTTGACTATGAAGCAATATTGGTGCACGATTTTGTAAACATTCGTACCTGAAGGATACTTGAAATTTGCACTATGTTGGAACACAATGATTAGAAATCAGCGTGTAAAATACAAACTACAATACAACATCTTCTATGCATGAAAAGTACATTGCAACTAATCACATTTCGAACGCTTGGAGAATAATAAAGTGTACACCAACATTTCAACTACTCGTAATTTCGCACACACAAGAAAATTACATTGCAAAGCATTTTATGTGCTCCCTCTTAGCAATATCACGATCACCCCAACCAACTGAACAATGGTAGCCATATTCACTCGGTCGTATGGGTCAGCTTTTTCCGAGCAGCTTGCACGTGCTTATGGTCACTCGTGTCCCCACTCATATAGACGAAATAAATATTCAGCAATATTTGTAATATTTTGTTATATAAATAACCCATAAACCATTCACCAAAGAATGTATAGCACATGGCATGTAAAGTGAATAAGGAGAGTTACTTATGACTGACGTGTCAATTTTTTGAGAAAAAGTACGCCATCTGTTTAATGTGAAGGGACATGATAATGCGACTTTACTAATTCCCAACGCGTGGTGATATTGAGGACTTATTAAATAATATTTCAGTTTTTGCAAAATATAATGTTAGACACAAGGAATTGCAGTACATAGTCCCAATAATTATATATGAAGCAAATGAAACTAATACTTGTGTTACTATAAATTATATAATGAACATTAAGGAAATATACTTCTAATTTGTGCAAAATATAATGTTACGGTTCAAATGAAACTAAGTTATCACCGTATTCCGAAGATGAATTGTACACTATGTATTGTCACATCTGATGAAATTTAGTAGGAAAGTCAATTTTGAAAAGCAAGTTGGATGATTTATAGCTTCCCTCAGTTTTGTAACGGCACAAGGATCTCGGAGCAATTTTCGGGCCATTTTTTCAATTTTTTTCCGATTTATTACCATTTTTTAAAAAGATTTTTGCATTACAAAATTAAAAAATAACGACATAAGACAGGTGTACGTCAGTGACCATTGTCATTTTCTTCCTTTTCAACCTAAATTATTATCATTTTGCCATTTTTTTAGAAAATTCATAACTAAATATACAAAAATTGGGAATTTATTTCGAAAATTGCTACGAACTCATTGAAACTTGATCTTCCCTATTCAACTGTATGCTAACATTTGAACTAATCATAATTCTGCATACACACAAAAATTACATTGCAAAGCATATTAAATGTTAGGCCAAGGTTTATGGAAATGCATTTGTGGGTGTGTTGTTGTTTGTACTGTTTCATGTCCTACTTTTTCTATCTTTCTTTATATTATATGTTTGTGGAATCCCTCAAAGCAACATATACTGTGAAAAATAAAATGTTGAGTGAAGTTATAATCACTCATATAGACTAGGACAAATATTCAGTACTATTTCAAAATTGCTTGACTGGTGTCAGGTATTTCAGAAAAAGTAGGCCATGATTTATGTGATTTGACATGATAGAGATATTTACTACGAACCCAATGCGGAGCCATATTGACAACTTATTGAATACAATTGACGTGTTCAAAGGTCTAGATGCATGCACCGGTGATGGCTTCAAAGCATTGTCCAATTAATATATGTGGATTATTATAACAAAACAAATACTTTTACAGCCTTTTATATGAAACGAAACTAATTCTTGTATTATTAAAACATAGATAATGAATATTAGGGAAATATACTTGTGATGTTGGTTTTTGCAAAATATATAGCTAGGGTTAAGAGGAAAGTGAGTTATCTAAAGCCATTCAAACTTTTTCATTATGAAACTGATGATTTGTAGCTTCCCCCAGTTGTATAATGTCACAAGGAAGACGGAGTAATTTTCGGGGTATTTTTTCAATTTTCCTACTATTTATTGAAATTTTTTCAAGATTTTTGGACTACAAAAACGCCAAAATAATCCCAAGATGACACCTAGCGCGATCTCAGCGCATCACCTTTCACCACTTGCACAAGTGTACGTCAATAAATATGGTCACATCCTTGCTTTTTACCCTAAATTCTTATTTTATTGTTTTTTCTTATGAAATTCATAACTAAATACACAAAAATGATAAAAATGTTCCGAAAATTGCTACAAACTCATTGAAACTTCATCTTCCTTACTGAATTCCCCGTTTAAGGGTTATTCATTTTAAAAAACAATTTCGAGCATTCACGGGAGATGCTTGTTGATGTAGGTTATATAAGTTGAAGTTAACAACATATATAGCTAGGGTTAAGAGGAAAGTGAGTTATCTAAAGCCATTCAAAATTTTCATTATGAAACTGATGATTGGTAGCTTCACCTAGTTTTATAACGTCACAAGGAGGCCGTAGTAATTTTCGGGGCATTTTTTCAATTTTCCTACTATTTATTGGAAATTTTTCAAGTTTTTTGCACTAAAAAAAGCCAAAATAATCCCAAGATGACACCTGGCGCGATCTCAGCGCATCACCTTTCACCACTTGCACAAGTGTACATCAATAAACATGGCCACATCCTTGCTTTTTACCATAAATTCTTATTTTATTGTTTTTTCTTATGAAATTCATAACTAATAAATACACAAAAATGATAAAAATGTTCCGAAAATTGCTACGAACTCATTCACACTTCATCTTCCTTACTGAATTCCCTGTTTCATGGCTACGCAACATTACTATTTTATTATTATTTACCCTAAATTATTATTATATTACTTTTTAGCCTCTACATTTGTTAATTATATTAACTTGAAATTATTATTTTGAGTGTGAATAGACCATTTCTGGTGTTAATCAGTTTTTCTCTTGTTCAATTTGTTAAATTTTTTTTCTTTATTAGGTTTAAGGGATGTTTTGAAAAATAAAAAGAAAAAATTACATTCCAACCATTGTATAACATCAGAAAAAAAGTCAATGAATAACCCATTTGTATAGCTTAATTTGGATCCCAACCATCTCATTCATTCATACAAAATTGACTGATTACTGACTACTGACAGATGGTCCCATCAGATACTTTTACATTGCAAAGCATGTTATTTGCTCCCTGCTAGCAATACCACGATCACCCCAACCAACTGAACAGCGGTAGCCGCAATTAGTCAGTCGTATTGGTCGGCTTCTTCCCAGCAGCTTTGACGTGCTTATGCTCACTCATGTCACCACCATCGTCTAGTATCTCTCTCACACAATCAGGGGATACATAGTCCCAATTATAACTTGTATGAGTAGTTGCCGCAAATGCTCAGAAATTTTTGAATCCTTCGTTGAATGCCATCTCCAGTTCACTGTGGTGCTCTTCGCATCGCATATGGTTCATCAAACAACCTTTAATTTCATCATTCATTATTGTATCCAACTCCTCTGCTTTCAGCTTCCTTTTATGACTCAACTTCAAGTACTTGTTCTTTTGGGAGAACGCTTTGTTAACTCTAATGTTAAGATCAGCCAAAATGGCCTCGTCTTCAACACATTTCTCGTGCCATGAATTGATCAGTCTGGAATTATAATTTAGCTTGCTACTGACTGCATGTATTGCCTCTAATGGATCATTGGAGTCCCCCTCACTCCCATATAATGTTGAAAATGGAAGGGGTCGGCGAGTACAACGTGGAAATGGAACCTGTGACTCCAATTTTTCATATTCGACTATGTTGTTGGCGCCTGAAGAGGATGACATGCTTGAATAATCATATTTGTTTTTAGAGGATGAGGATTTCATATGAAATTTCGTTTGAGGAAGGGGACATAGCTTTATAGACCAACATACCAAAGCTTGCGTGTAGTCAACATATGTACTTTATTTCAATTTTTAAAAAGAGGTGTCAGGTTTTGCTTTTCAAGCATGTCAACCTCATTACACCACTGTCAGTGGTTGAAAGAAACTCAATGGAAGTGACATCTAGTTAGTGAACCCAACCACAGTGGTTAGGATTAA